ATCCAACTGGGCAACTTTCCCTTATGTTGCTCTTGTTCCTCTTTCTTTCTTGACTGAACTTGAAGGTTTGGATAGTCCTTTGATAAAGAAGAGGAAATTTTTCTCATCACCTTGTCTAACTATTAGTTCTTCTGACAATCATATTCTTATTTAATCTTAGCTAATAGAATTAAGAAACATAATTTTATCTACTAAGAGATTGAAATTCTTATGGATGACAGATTTGATTTAAAGCTAGAGAGAGCGAGTCTACGGCCATGCCACCTTGAACGTGCCTGATCCTGTCTGATCTTGGAAGCTATGCAGGGTTGGGCCTGTTTAGTACTTGGATAGGAGACCACTTAGGAAGACCAGATGCTGCAGGCATTAAAAAAAAAAAAAAATAATACATCATCTAAGCAAAATAAACCAGACAGAAAAAGCTGAAAAATCACATGATATCACTTATATGTGGGATATAAACCTAAAAGCAACAAATGAACAGGACAAAGAAACAGAGACTCATAGACATGGACAATGGACTAGTGGTTACCAGAGGATGGGGGGTAGGAGAGGAGGGGAGAGGTAGATCGGGTAAAGGAAGTCAAATATAGAGGGGTAGGGGGAAGGTGAAGTGGGTAAAGGGGATCAAATATATGGTAGCTGAAGGAAACGGAATTTTGGGTGGTAATCACACAATAGAATATATAGATGTCAAATTATAATGCATACCTGAAAATTATATAATTATATTAACCAATGTTACCCCAATAAACTTAATTTAAAAAAAGTATAAAAAAAGAATAATAATAATAAAAAAATAAAGCTAGGGAGAAAGAGAAGAAAAACCAGGTTTGACTCAGCTAACAACAAATCCCAATTGCCAGTCCAAGATTAAATGGAGTATAATGTGCAGAGAATCATGGGATTCTTAATGGGATACTTCTAAGGAAAGGTCTTAGCTAGCTCTTAGTCCTAAATGAATGTTTACTTAAAAATATTGGGGTGAGACCACTCTAAGATGTCATTTTGATGGGTTCAATGAGCAGATGACATGAAGCTTTACAATCTTAAGTATAAATTCTGTTGGAAAAACAAAGTATTATCAAAACTTTTGGTGCCTTTAAAATCTGACACAAAAATAGGATTTGTAGGCTTTAAAATTGTAGCTTTCATATAGTAGTAATGAAACAGTATAATCACTCTGAATAATTCTGCCATCACTTATAGCTTTCATAGGGTACTATGAATTATAAAGGAACAAATCCAAAAATCTAAAGATCTATCTTATTTTATGTCACTTTGTAGACTTTGAGTACTGCAAGAGAGTAAGAAAAAAAAGAGAATATTAGGTACCAACGTATTAGGCTAAGTTTATGGTGACATTAAAGATGGCAATCATATTTTATAATTGTAAGTTTATAGTTATTTTTTGCTAATAATCATTTTCTTTACCTGTTGTGTGTTTGATGAGACTTTTGTAGTGATTATTCTTTTGAGCCTGGCTGAAAGAATTAAAGATAAAGTAATACCTAATTGGAGCTTTTTTAAAAAACTAAATATAATTATTTTAGGAATGAGGTGGAAAGGATTCATGAAACTTCACCAGACACCCAGTTGTATATATATATTTACAGCCTCTACCTTGCTTATTTTGTTTTCCTACACTATAAAACTGTCTGTTTGAAAATTTAAATTGAAAGACTATACACTTAAAATAGGAGCCTATTTAAAATAATGGGATAAGTTATGAAAAACAAATGAAGTTTATTTGGTATCTTTTGAACATTATTGAAGCCTAGACTTGAAAATATGTAAGCTAATTTTTGTAGCTATGGTAATTTTACTGGTTCATTAGCTATGCCAATTCAAAGTACAATATGCTTTAATTAGTGTAGGCTTTGCTGTTTCTATTTAATGGACACTGATTTTACTCCTGATAGATAAAATGTAAGCAAGACAGCTAACTTAGTTCCAGTAAAACAGCTTGAAAAATGTAGTCTTTATTATTTTTAAAAACTAGCCAATTAAGAACGAGGAGGTAAATTTTTACTGAGATAGCTCCTCTGACACTGAGAGAAATGTCTGTGTCCTTCCTGCTCTTGGCTCTACCAGAATCACATTGTTGGGAGAATGAATAACTTGGTCATGAAAAAGCTTATTCTCTAAATTAGTGTCAGCAAGATATATAACCCTCTTGTTTTGGTAAATTTTTATTGGAACACAGCCATGCTCAGTCATTTATATACTGTCTGGTTGCTGTGGTGCTATAATGATAGTTGAGTAATTGCAAATCAAGTGATCCACAAAGTGTATTTACTCTTATTTGGTCCTTTAGGGAAAAGTGTGCTGACTCTTCTATATCTAAGTCTTTCGTAGTCAGATCACGTTAAAGTTTTGGTGGAGTTTTTTGAGGTTAGTATTTTTGTGTTTAATTTCTCACCTGCTTTATTCTAAGAAAAAATACTTTTTTAAAAAGGTCATTTTGAATTGTCAGTTTCCAGCTTTCTCATCCATAAGTAGATATACTACCACCTTGCAGGTTTGCTATGAGGGGTCAGTGAGAAATGTAAATAAAGTGCTTAGCAGAGTACCTGACATCCAGAGAGAATTCAAGCAATGGGGAGATATAATAAGAGAAAGTCTAGGTGTTTATTTGGGTTATTTAGGATGGCATGTTTTTAGAGATGTTGATTTGTCCACAGAGCTGGCTGTAGAGGCCTAGTTTATCCAGGTTCTTTATATAACATTTCTGATTAACTTCTCTCTATCCTTTTTTACTTCTTTCTTCTCTTTGTCCCTCTCTCTTTCTCTTTCCTCCCTGCCTCCCGATTTTCATACATTCCTATCTTCTTTTCTTTTTGATCTGTGTAAGCATTGCTGCTCAATTTAAGTCAGTGGTAACTACTCTAGGGAGAGTAATGCAGAGAACCTAACACATAGAAGCATCTTCCTTATTCTTAGTTCCATTCTCTAGGAAGCAGAGGAAGTCTAAAATCTTGTAACCTCCTTGCCCTCTTTATTCTTATGTGATAATGTATATTGTCAGCTGTCTAGGTATGTGTAAAATTTACTCCTACCACAGCAAATTTCAGGGTAGATCTTAAGTTTTGTCCTGAACCATGATGCCAAAGGTTCACTTTTAGAAAGGCATAGTTTTCTTCCGGAAAATAGGATAGATGATAGATTCTCCCTAACATTTTGAAGGAAACTTGATCTAGTGATGATAAATTGAGCCTAGCAGTCTTATATTGCAAGCACCCACTTAGTTGTTGTCGTTTTATGAAAACACAAACTTAAAAAGCTATTATTTTGCTTGACAGGTATTTTTAGAAGATCAGTTTGAAACCTGGAACTTAATCCTTTCTAGTTATTATAAAATCAGCATTAATATAAGAGAGCAAGAAAAAAGAATCTTAGAATATATATATTTTTTGTTTTTATTGGCATTTGTTATTATTTTGTGGTAGTTTTTAGTTTTTGTAGGTATCAGGAGAAAAGATATGGAAAAGAGGTGAAATTCTAGGATGATAGTTATAGCATTAGCAGACACTTAGACAACAGTCTTAACAATTACCCACATTTCTGAACGTTTTTGGCCCCCTCATTTGAAAAACTTTTTATCCATAGTAAATTTAATTCTGTTTTAATTCTAGATTCTTTTGTTTGTGGTTTTGAAAGGAGTTAAATAGGGTCTGAATTTCTCATTGAATGTTTCTACCTTTTTAAAGCTAATACTTAAATTCATTAAACCTAAACTTTATATATCACCATTCTATTAATGGGAAAGAATCTTTCCGTTTTTCTCATTTATTTTATGATAAGCCGAGATTTTGTAGAGGCAGATATTAATCCCTAGTCTTTTCGTCTCTGTGACTAAGGTTAGTATTTAGTGTTTAATTTCTCACCTGCTTTATTCTAAAAAAGGGACATTAAGTGGTTTTCTTGGAACTGCAATTTAAGTCAGTATAAAGTTAGGGACATAAATATTGAATGTACCTTATTTTGTGTATTTAGAAGCAACCAGATAGCAAGGTTTAAAAAGTTATTTTGTGTCTGGAAATAGATAACATGGAAGATGGGGATTGTTTAGTTTTCAAAAACTTTTTGAGAAGTTAAGAGTTTTATCTTGCCAGGATATACATATATAGAGAGGAGAGTCTTGGTGAAATATAGCTCAAAGGCATATAGTTAGTATTAGCATGTTGTTTGCTTGTATATGAGAAAAACCAGTAACAGATTGATTTAATTTATCAAAGGAGGAAGAGGAGGGGAGAGAAGAAAAAAAGACATTTGGAAATAGCGAATTTTGTTTTCCTTTCTTTGGCTAAGATGCTGATTAACTGGCAACTAGTGAAGAGAACAATCAGGATATTCTGCCCTTGGGCAGCTGGGTGGGTGATCAAAAACAAAATAAAACAAAACAAAACAGTTTTAGATGCTTATGAATTCTTCAGAAGACCTTGGGTGTTTTAACTGTGACTTGCATGTTGGAGGTTGTCCCCGTATTATGTCTGCCTCTATCCTTCTTAGCATTTCCATGCCAGATCTGCATCAGAATTTCTCACTTTGCCTTAATTATGGTCTTGTTTCCATGATTTTTTTTTTTGTGTGTGTGTGTTCATTGGTGTTTTAGATGGCCTTTTCAAAAGTTAATGCTCCATTTTCCTGGGGTTTTGTTGGCTGTTGTAAATCATCATTTTAACATTGTGTGCATGTAATTTGTTAGTTCTCAGATCAAAAAAGTCTTAGCCTGTTTGAAACTGTATGGGAAATCTGAGCCACAATGTGTATGCATTGGATTTCTTTGAGCAGTTTTCTAGAAGAAATTGGTAAACCAACAAAAATTACTTACCTTAAGCAGTTTATGCTCTTTTACCTTATTGTTGCTTTGAAAGTTTAGGTTATGATTTTGGAATATTTTGCAAATGTCTTTTCGGTGGTCAGATTTACTGTTGCTATGTGCTTTATTTTTGATGAAGAATGGGAATAATCTTATGATAAATTCTGTTTCCTTACAGACAAAGGCGATCGGTTTGTTAGATGTGGATGTGTATGGCCCTTCAATTCCAAAGATGATGAATCTTAAAGGAAATCCAGAATTATCACAGAGTGAGTAAAGAAGAGATGAATACTATGATAAAAGTTACCTTGCAGGGTACTAAATAAAAGTCAGGCATTTTACCATGTACCATGTGTACTCTGGACACAGTGTAATGTAATAATTCTGAAATCAGGTATGGAGCCAGACTGCCTGGGCTTGAATTCCAGCTCTTTCACTGACTATGTAGGTTTGAGTGAATTCTTTAACCTCTTTGTGCCTCAATCCCCTCACTCCCATATGTAAAATAGGGTTAACAATTGCTGTGAAGAATCGCTCAATTACAAAATTGCTAAAAGTGTATTGCATTTAACACAGTGCCTAGCATGTAGTAAGTGATCAAAAAGTTAGTGCATCACCATTGTCTCTTTATATTAAATGTGTAGATGTATGGGAGTATTTGATTGGAAAGTAAGTAATTTATTTGTGTTAGAAAAGATGGAAATTATTTTCCCTAATCAGATTTTTGTCATATTTTAAAAAACCCCAAACATTACTTTCTTTCC